TGACCCTTTGGATATTATTTGTCTAATTATTTTCTAATTATCTAAAAGATCACCTAAGCTTTCTTATAAGCTTCTCATAAAGCAACCAAAGTTCATTATGCTACTATTAGGATTAGTATGACTTACTATCAATAATAATGTATTTTGGAACATAAAGTCAAGTCATCAAGCTTGGGGATATATTACAAAGAACCTCAGGGAAATGAGGTCAGACATAGAATTTTGCAGGACCAAGATTTTTGAGGGAAATAATGATTATGAGTGACTCAGGTTTAAAAAGTTCAGAGCACTATTCAGTTAAAAAAATAGACTAATTTAAGACACTAACTAGTCTAATTATTACTTACTCCAGAAAATACTAGTCTATTTCTCACAAGCAAGGAGGACATAAATTCCACACTTACCTTTTCAGGAATTTTCTCTATGATTATATAATCTTACAGAAATATTTCTTTTGTAGGAGTGAAATTGCATAAGAACAATTCACTCAGCAAAAACAAGCAAACAAACTAAACCTCAAAGCCATTTGAAAGGCTTCTGTTTTCAGTGGCATAGCTAAGGAATGAAAATGAAGAAAACTGAGCTTCTATCCTTTTTTTTTTTTTTTTTAATTTTGTAAACTGATCAGTTTGGATAATCCACTTTTTAAAAAAATGCACCTGCACATCAATTACCCAAGCACTTTAGAATGCCATAATCTCATTTTGTGACCAGGATGTGAAATCCAAATGTCATCCAATTCTATCAGTAAATGACATTTTAGTGCCTTGTGCTAGATATTGTGCTGCATCAAAAACTCCCCAGCTTTTTTTGGTTGTTTTTAAACACAAAAATGTCTAAGAGAAAACAGGCGCAACATTCATTTTGTAGGTTCATCAGGAAGATAGGTGGGATTGGTTTTATCAGAGACTGGGTAAAGACCAAGGGATTTTTAGTTCACTTTATAAATTCACAATTTAAACTCAGTGCTGGGCTGTACGTGTTGTAGGTGTAATATTTCTCGTGTACATTTTTAACACATGCACACATGTGTTTTCACCAGCAGATCTGTAGTCATGGCTCTGTATGGGCAAAAAACGGAGTCTGTGAAAGGCACAGTGGAAAACTTATCCCTAAAATATTGATTACTTTCCTAATTGTTAAATCATTATTAAAGCAGGTTGAAAACTCATTTGCAGTCTCTTCTAATACTACTAATGTCACAAATGACATCACTTTTTAACAAGATGGATGCTTCCAATGCTGGGCTCAGAAATGCCAGGTGGAATTAGCAGCTTAAAAAAAAAAAACAAACGCGCTTTTCACTGTTTATTCATGGTAACAAGCACTGCTTGCCCTGTACTTCCATGTTCCTGGCCTCTGTAATGCGGCTGCAGGTTTCTTTTCACTCACCAACACAGGGCAGCTCCAAGGAGGCAAAGCAGAAGGAAGCTTGGCAGAGCACAGCCTGGTGAAGCATGTGGGGGCTTGAATTCCACCCTCCCCATTGCTCCAGTCCAGTGAACTGTGTCCTTCTGAATGCTCCCTATGCTGTGGCCACTGGAATTACAATAAAAATATTTGCAAAGTATTCTTGAGTTGTCTGAAGAAAGGGACTTCATGCAGGGAAGGTGTCGGGCATAAACCTTAAAGCCTTTAAAAAATACTGGGGGGGCAGATGTGCACATTCAAAAGCGTCTCTTCTGCTGCTAAGAAAGTAACAACAAGTAGAGGCAAGGTTTGCATGGAAGATGATTTGCTGAAATGGGATCAGATGGTCATACGACCCTTTCAGACACTGGAATGAAGTGGCGAGCTGTTATTCCCCAGCTCTCAGGTGCTACCACCGCAGTTGCCGTGTTTTTGTTATGGGCAAAGTGATCCCTTTGGAAAACATTTCAGAACATTTCAAAATACTTTATCTCTTTCCAAAGAACAAAGTTGCAAGCACTGCATTGTCTGTTTCAGTTTTAGCATTATTATTGCTTTTCATCACAATAAGTAAGTTGGCCACTGCTATAAAGAAGGGGATTTTCCTCTCAAGCCCTGCCTGGCACTATGCTTGTTTCGTACTCCCTGCTCCATAGGTAACCAGCAAGAGGTGCAGACAATGTGTTCTGTCGACTGATGAGCATAAAGGACATGTAATTCCAGTTGCTTCCCCTTGAATAAACAAGTGGAGAGGGACAGGGAGGAGGACCCTCTTAGGAACCAGCCACACACATATAAGATACTGTTGTTTGGAGTAAAGCATGATGACATTCTGAAGAATACTGTCATGTGAAATAGAAAAAGATCCTTTGGGAATTATTCTGCATTCAGGCCTCCAACAATCTTTTCATGCTGCCTGTTAGGCTGACTCTCCTTAACTGGCACTGCCCTTAAAATGCCTTCCAACATGCTTTCAGCAGGAAAAGTGTTTGTAGGACATGGCAACCAGCTGTTAGGCAGACATCTGTACTGCAGTCTCCTGTGCTGCCCCTGAAATGAACAAGATTTTATAGGTCTACCTTAAAATGATCTTTTCTTCTTCCTTTGACCCTAAGATTTTATTGTCCTGGGAAGTAACTGCAACTCTGTTTAGTTTATCTAAGGTCTTGCAGAAAGAATCGTAGAAAACTGGAATGAAAATGTTAAGTAATATAAATAAGAGCAAAAGCCAGATGAATGCAAGCAAAGTGCACTTAAAAGGGACTTTTTCTCATAGCTGAGGACAAAGAGGTGTGAGATGATGCCTTGGAGCATGTATTGTTGCTCTTTATGTGTTGCAGTGGGAAATCAAATTTACCAGAACAGTAGGAAGGGTGGAAACAGTGAAACCCCAAGCAACATTAGTATATACAGCTGAGCCACAGCACCCAAGAGAACAGAATCTGGGTCACAGCCTTGTCTTACCTTACAACATGATGAAATGGCCTCCGAGGAGCACAACCAATGACCAAAAAGCAAGTAGAGAGGTGTTTGGATACTCAAAAGCCGCAGGAACAGGACTGCAGTTTCTCTCTCCATAAAGGGAATTTGAAACCTAAAGCAAATTCCTAAAAGAGGAAAACTGTGTCAGGAAGGGAACATCCAGACTCCTCCTGCTTTTTTTCTCTTTCTTCTCACTGTTTTTTGGCTTTTCAGTGTGTCTTGCACCAGCTATGAAGCTCTATGCCTTATCATACTCTTCTGTGTGTAAAAGGTTTTGGCCAGAGCATGAGCTGAGACATAGAGGCTGTATTTAGTCTGCTTTTAATAGTTACTTTTAATTCAGTTTGCTTTTCAGGATCAAGAGCTGTAAGACAGTTGTGTCCATGCAGCATTTAGGGACTGAGCTAACATGGTGAGTATGACACAACATAATTTTCAAAGCAACTGAATGTCTGTGCCTACTTAAACTTCCAGAGGAACTAGAAATGCTCGGCACATCTGGAAGAAGAAAGATGTTGCTGCTGTAATAATGTCTCTGAAAGACATAGGTTAATAGCTTTGACTGAGTTAATTTTTTCCTCATTTACACTTTCCTACCTTACCAGCGCAGGGAACCCCACAGCTTCCCTGACACAGCCAGCACTCTCTTTGCCCCAGACAAAGCCAACAATAAAGTAGCAAAGCCTATAATCCTTTATGTATATTGTCATATAAGGTCAAAGCTTATCCATTCCTTTGATTCAGCTTTACAGATATTTTGGTTAGCAACGACGAAACATCAGGTTTGCACGAGGCTTTCTGCCTCCCAGAGTTTGCCTGTTTTGTACAAGTCATCCTTTGCCTCTATTGTCTCCTAACCTCAGGATGACACAGTTCACAAACTGCTCCTACTGCAGTACAGGAGAGGCTCTGTGATTTTCCAGCACAGTTTCCAGATGAAGCTACTACCAGAGCTCCATCTCCAGCAAGATGCTTGGGACAGCAGAAGAGTCTTTCATCAGTGTGCCTGGGCTGCTGCCATCTCTTTGTGCTTCCCCATCATAGAAACCTGTGGTGTCCTCTCCCTGCTCTTCCAGGCCCACGCAGGACCTCGCTCCACCTTTTTACCCTTTCTGATGCTCCTAAAATCCACTTAGTTTCTTGGTTTTTTTCTGCTGTTGTCATTACAAAAAGTTCTCATCCACCTCATGACTCCACAATATATTTTGCTTTTCCCCTCTCCTGCCTCCCTCTGTATCTTGACCTCACGTAGGACATAATTGTACCTGTCACCTGCTGTTTCTCCCTGTGGAGATACCGTCAGCTCTCTCACTGAGACATCTCCACTGTCTCTTTTATGACTGGATCTTAAGGTCCCATTTTCTCCTAGGCCTTTTTGAAGTGCTGCATCCCAGAGGAAATGTTAGTGCTTTTCTACCACTTATGTATTCCTTCCACCTTGATGCCTGCCAGCTCGCTCAACTCTGGCTACCCACTCCCTGCTCTTGAATATCCTCTGCTGCTCTCATGGGTTTTCTCAGTTATGGTAGTGATATAAGATGCACTGTAGACCTAATCCTCCATACAGTCCTGACCTTTAACAGAAGTATCCTGTTACCTTCTTTTCTTCTACCTTCTCCTTGACATGGGTTGTGTCAGCCTTTATGTCCCTAGACCACCACCTGTGCTGTTAATGCACAGTCAGAGGGTTACGTGGCATAATATATTCCAAGTTTTGCGCTTAAACTTTGTCCGCCTTTGTATCACACCTAAACTATCCTACAGAAGCTGAGAGACCTGTGCATCATATATGTAATGGCAAAGATGAGCCTGGAAGACAGCTGAGATTTTGGTTCAAATTTCCACTAAGGAATTGGGGCCAAATTGTGACATTGCCCTCATCAGGTGTGCCTGAAAAAGTCTGTGAGGAGACCTCGAAAGAAACTCATGTCTTGTTCAGTTTGTCACACAGAGCATGGTGAGCTTTGCAGGGTCTCTGCTGACCCTCCAGATTGGCCTTTGGCAATACTTCCATGCCAGTTTCCCTCTTTTCTGCCAGCCTAATCCTCACAGAAGGAATCAACAGCTTTGTTTTGCCCTGACAGCAGTGCTGGAAAGGGTTAATTTTGCACTGTCTGTGATAAGGGAGGCTTCTGTGTAAACACTGCTGACATTTCATCACTGGGATTTGTCACAAGCCAAAATAAGATCACATTCACCAGTTTAAAGGCCTTGAAGAAGTGTCACTGGCATCTCTGTGCTTTGGGCTGCATTAGTTTCTCTGCTACAGATCTTGTTTTCACAGATTAAGAACATCTACAGAAAGTTCTGTATGCACAGCTGAAGCTATTTAAGAACTGTGTTTTAGAGGAAATATGAGGAGAGACTAGAAAAATGCAAAGCAACACATGAGAGAGAATAACAACAGTCAAAAAGAATACACTGATTAAAGTGCTCTCCTGGGAAAAGGAATGGCCTTCCTTGGGTTAGATGGGAACTCAGAAAAACCTATCGCCAAAGACGAGGTGGGGCTTTTTGGTCCCTTATCCCCTTTTGCATCACTGTGCCCAGACAGAAGTCAAGGATTTAGTGTGGGGGTGAATGAAACAAAATGCATCTTTCTCATGCACCTCGATACCTGGATTTCCAAACGGAAACCTTGTCTGGAAGGGAAAAGCCTCAGGCTGTGTTACGACTCTCTGGACACTCCCTCTCACTTCTACTGTGTGACTAAAACGAGATGAGGACAACTGTGCAGCAGCTTCTCTTACGAGCTGCTGGGGAGAGGGGCCGTAAACTGAGGGCAAACCTTGCCCTAATAATTTTAATGTGTGACATTTAAAGCACAATATAAATTTAAAGCAAACAATATGAGCTAACCCAATACAATATAATCTATGATTTGTAAGTGCTGTTGTTAGTTACTCTTTCAGTGCAAGTACTGTAAAATGACAGCCAGCCCAGTATAAGTTAATGCCAAAAGATGGGTTTGTGCTCTGAGCTCTGCTATGCCTGAGCTAATCTTCTGGGTAGGAAAAGCATAAAAACTACAAGTATCCAAGAATAAGTGACGCTTGTAAGTTTTCGGCAAGGAGATAATGAGACAAGTTCACCAGTTGGCTCAGCCTTACTGATCCAGACACAGCGATGACTCCTGGCAGGCACAAGGATGATACATAAAAAGCAGGTCACAACTTTTAAGATAATAGATCCGAAAAATGGGATTGAAGGGGGAAAATGTCTGCGGTTTGGGTATTCAGCCATCTTCCCCAAAATAATATAGGCTGTCCTGAGCCACAGGGAGGACTTGGCTCCCATTCTGAGTGCCTCCAGGCTTCCTCCTGCAGGCAGTACCACTGCAAGGGAAGGAGAGCTTATTCTGAGAAGTCATTAAGGTTTTTTCTTTCTCTGATGGGCATTATGACCACCACTTGATCTTTGCTTTTGGGAATAAAACCTGGGCCTGTAATCCTCACAAGGCAACAGTCACAGGCTGTGGTGATCTATATAGGTGCCTATAAGCTGTTAAAATGAAAAGTTTGAGTCTGTATTCTGCTCAAATAGCCCCAGGGGGGAGATATATCAGGATTAGACACTTCTAGCTCCATGGGGAGAAATTTTGTCTTGGCACCCAAAGTGGACCAGTCCTGCAACACCCTAAAACTTCAACCCTACCCTACATTAAGCTGTGTGAGACAGCCCATGACTATGTGGGTAGATGGAGGAGCTAAATACGGAGCTAGGAAGGCTGGGAAGCAGCAGCATATACATTACGGCTGTTGGTGGAAGAGGCAGATCCACCCCAACACCACACAGGTGAGACCCACCTGCGAAGGTGCACAGAGACACGCTGGCATTGGCCACGGTGGGGTGCACATCCAAAGTGGGGGCTGGAGGATGAGTTAAGAAGCTGCACATTTCCCTTGCACCCTTCTTGACTGTCTGCAATGAACGAGTGCTTCCTTGGCCTCCCAGCTTCCATGCACAGTGCATCCCTAGCCCGTAGATTCTGGTGTAAACATGCTGCCTACACATTGCGTGTAACCCCAGCACTAGAGGTGCAGCACACACTCTTTGCCAGGGAGGGAGCTCACCATCTTCTACCAGGAGTGAGACAGGGGGTAACGCTGTGCCCAGAAGTCACACGTGCCTTGTGAAAGCAGCACAGAGTCTTCACACAGCTGCAACATCACATGACTTAGCAAGGAAGAATTCACAGGAGAGGATTCTGTGGGAAGGAAAAGGTCTGTGGAGGCCTGGGTTGGAAAGTACAAGGCAGGAGTTTGGAGAATTTGATCTCTCAAAGAGTCAGTTCAGGGTTTAGGGGTCTGACTCAGCATTCCAAGAGGTCCTTGCAGGGCTTTTCTGTGGCTCACGTTGCACTCACAGCAGCCAGAGAGGCATTTCCCTGCACAAAGTGGGTTGAAGATGTTCTCCCTACCATCAGTTCGGTAAATTCCACCAGTACAACAACCAGCCAGTGCCCCACTCTCTAGGAACACACCCACATTTTCACAGCTAAACATACACCTCCTTTTCATGGGTCTCAATGGCACTCAGAAACTGAAATGGGGATGGTGTGATAAGAGGAGAAAGCCACTTTGCAGAAATTAAGTATTTGGCTGACATGGTTTCTGAAGCACATCTGCTGGAAGATGAATAGGAAAACATGATCAAATCTTTAAGAAACTACAGTGGTCAAGTAGGGCAACAGGAGCTGCTTTCTCACATCACACCAACCTATGGCTGACAATATCTGGCTTAGAATGGTGTTCCTAGTCAGCCTTATAATTTGGGTAGAAAGAATGAGTGTTGGTAATTTTTATTCTTTTTTTTTACTGGGATATAGAAACAAAGAAGACACAATAGGTTAGTGTGATATGTCATCCTTTAAATTCAGGTGGCTTTGTCCTTAAACAGTAAAGATTTTTTTTATCACTACTGACACCTCAATATATAGCAAAGGACACCCTGAAATGGTCATTGCTATTTCAAATGAATGGGCATCAGTACACCACATTGTCAAAAGGAATTATGCACAAAACCAAGGCATTTGAAAGCTCAACTTCCACATAGTTACGGGATTTTATACAGCTGAGAAACTGGTGGCAATGTGAAATAACTCCATGTGGTGTTTTACATGGGC